CTAGGCCAGCGAGGACTACACAATGAGACCCTATCTTAGAAAAGTTACTGTGTGCACTATTAAGTTACTACTTTTCACCAGTACCAAGATACTGTTTAAAATGTCCACAGTTGTTTGCAACCGTGTGTGTGTGTGTGTGTGTGTGTGTGTGTGAAAAGCATAATGCCAATATGAAAGGAAGATTGTGGTGTATCAGTCAAGGAGAGACACTTGAATTTTCCATGTGTCTATAGAGGTAAAGGTAATAGGACAGTAATAGTTGGACTACAGGAAGGTAAGTGGTTTGAGTTCTTTTTTTTTTTTTTTGGTTTAAGTTCTTGAATCAGATTCTAGCATGAAATTAATAGTGCTTTATAAAAACCTGTACTGGGAGTTGAACCCCAAGTATTTTGCATGGAGCTACATCTTCAGATATTTTAAATTTTGAGACTGTCCTGGTTTGTTAAGTTGTCCAGGCTGGGCTTGGACTTGTGACCCTTCTGCCTCAGCCTCCTAGAGTGCTGGGGTTCTAGGTGCATGCCACTGTGCAAAGCTGATGGTGCTTCTTAAGTCATTTTATGTTCTTGCTAAGTGTGATGGCCCACACTTGTAATTCCTGCATTGGAGAACCGAAGTAATTTAGGCCTGTAACTTGATCTTAGGTTGGCAAGTCTTAAATTTGTGATCCTTGAAATTCCCTGCCTGCTTGCAGTTGAGATGTTAGATTCATCTGGTTTGCGCTGCCCTGAGGGCAGCAGGACCTGAAACCAAAAGAGGACTGAAGGACACTAGCTCATGCTTGATTGAGGTGGTGGTAGAGGCTGGAGCTGGCTGCTAGCCAGCACAGGATAAGCAAATAGCATGCGAAGTTAAACATTGTCCCACAGGCTCTGGCCTAAGATACTTTAATACATTTTTATTACAGATGTATACAGTACTGTATGAGTTTGCTAGTCTCTCAGTGATAAAAATCATAGACAAAGCCTCATTGGAGTGTAATGGTGGGGTTTTTGTTTTTAAATCCTTGTCCATCAAAATTAAGAACTATAGGCAGCAAACAATAAAATGACCTGGAGAAATGATCATCCTAACCTTGGCAAAAATCTAAAACAGGTGTGAAGTG